GTGAGAATTAGGAACAACTGCTACTAAAACAGCACGGAATATTTCCAAGCTACTGAAGCCTGTCAACAGCTGTCTTCTACGTGCACATTCTCCTACTCAGTGTTTCAAGATCAGTCTCATTCCTTTGCTAAGGCTTAAGACAACTTTCTTAATAGAAGCGACTCAGTTGCCGAGACATAATATTTTAATCAATAAAGACTGAAGAGACATGAAGAGAATACTTGAAGCAGAATCATTCCCATCCCTTCCCCTCCTTTAATTATAACACCTAAATCTGTTCTACCTTGTGATTCAAGATCTCGTTCATCCTTCTCGTAGCCTCCGTGGTATGAGATTCCGGGAAGTATTTCTTGGGGACAACACCGTACTTCTCTAAGAGAAAAAAGCAAAGCTATGAGTTAACAGTTGTCTCTTCCACAGAGATAAGGGAGAAGTTCTCATCATCTCCCTGATCTACATTTTGCAAGGGTGCCAAAGGATGGCATCCTTATGACTTGCTGTCATTTCATGTGACATTTTAGGAATTTTAGTCTAATTAGTGTTTGTTAAGGAGCTCTCTTGACCAAAACAAAATCCGATTAGTTTAAAGTTAAGCTAACAAAATATCTTCTAAAGAAGAGAAAACAAACAAAAAAATAACCTACCTCTCATGAATTATTCCATATATCTAAGCTGTGGTTAGTTGAGCAACTTCCTAGTCTTCCTTTCATCATAGGAAGAGGAAAAACCCCAGGGCGACATCTCTCCTCAAYGCTTACAAAACGTAAGCAACTGCTCAGCTACTTCTTACATTATGCCGCTAAACAAAGATCACACCATACAAAGCTCTGGATTTAACAGCATCATCTGAAGTCTTCTCTGGCCTGATTAAATATTTATAACAGCAGCAAGTGGAAAAAAGTGACCTCCAGGCTTCCACTCAGCAAGTTCCTTTTGTGATTCTAAGCTTATTAATAGCTTGTTACTCTTCAGAGGTGTCATTGTTTTGCAACACAAATGAAAGCAAATGCAGTTATAATTCACACACTGAAGTAGCTCCTCAAGCGGTGCTAAAGATGATACTTAATTGTACTGCAAGAGCAGCACAGCCACATTCCACATCGTTTCCCTCTTGCTGGCCTTTGCATAGCTTTTTTTCCCCAAGACTGCAACTCCAAAAAGTTTTGCTTCTACCTTGCAGACACACCCTATTCCAACTAGTTTTTTTTCCTTCCACGTGTACTAAAAACTGTATACATTGATATAAACCACAGCATTGAGACAACTGCAGAACAACAGAACTGAATGGTCAGGCACATCCAATTACTTGGATACAGGTCTTTCTGAACCTGCAGAAAGCATCATTAGCAGCAGTATACAAAATGAGACCTGCAAATTCAATGAAAGTAGCAATATATATGTTTTTAGGGAACTGCATAGTCAAGGGTATCATTGCAGATTACAAAAAGGCATTTTATCACCACAGTGATTCCATAGATTCTGAATAATGGCACAGCAAAAGCCTAAACAATCTATCTGGAGCTTTCTGTAGTACCTGGCACTCTAGAATCTCGGAGATCTTATACTGCATAAAGTCTAGCAGAGGACAAGATATTGCAAAAGCAAATCACAATTGCAGCAGCTGCTTCAGTTCTCAGYACTCAAGCCAGTGTACAACTTCAGGAAGCACTTCCAGTGACAGATTCTCTTACCAATAAGATTAACCAACATATCCCACTGCCCGCCATCATTTGTGGGGTTGGAAAGCAGGAACTGTATCAGTCTTCCTTCCACGGGTTCCTTTTTCTGAGCTGTTTCCACATAGGCATTTAAAAAGTAATAACAACGTTCAACCTGGAATCAAAAGACAGGCAGAAATCGCTAAGTGTGACATGGTACACATGACTTCATTGCTGCGTATTGATTCCTTTCATAGTTCTAACTAGATGAAACTACATTCTAGCCATGCACTGAAATTCTCATTTTCCCTCTGGTTTTCTGGGGATTATCCTATAAACATATTTCCACATACACACAAAATATTCACAAGTGACTTGTTATACAGAGCTTGGACAGTACCGGAAAGGCAAAGCAGAAGTTACGTAATGAAACTCAGCTCGAGCTTCACTCAGTTGCAAGTACCAAGTCTTCTTGGCTTCCCTATCAGGAGCAAACTAGCACGTAGCTCCCAGACCTGCAGGAGGTCACAAGTACGACTGAAAGACAGCCYCCCAAAACAGTTACAGTGATGCTTCCCACTGGACCTGCAAGTACCATCTGGAATAGTCTAATCTCTTGAGAGAAAAAGAAAAAAAAATCATATTACAAAACATTAACACCTATACAATTTCCTTCTCAAGTCAAAAATTGCACTTTGCTCTTCTTTCATTTGCAAGAGATCTATAAAGATGAAGTTTCCCACCTGGATTCTTAWGAGATTCAGGACCCTAAAGGAAATTACCAGTTACTCAAGACCAGTCCCCACTGCATGACMAGTCCTAGCACAAGCTAGGACCTTAGCTACTGTACCTTATCCCAGAAAAAGAGGTAGGACTGGCTGAATTCAAACTCTTCAATGTTGTACTTCTTCATGAAGGGAAGACGCATTGCATTGAGACAAGAAAAGATCCAACATCTCCCTGAGGGATCAAAGAAAAAGAGGYAACTGGAACCTACACACTGAAGATACTCCAAGTTTTAACAGACGATTTAAAACATTCTCCTGTCTCAAGCCTTTGGCCTGCTATTCTGGGTGGCATTAGACACACATCAAAATAACAGGAACTTTAGCAAAGTTGAACTGCATGTGTAGTTCCCAGCTACTCCTATCTTTTTCTTTAAGGAAGGGAAAAAAGGTAAACATTGTAATGCTAAGGACAGTTATTAATTCAAAAGAAGGTTAAAAGGATCCGTGTTCAGCCCTTCTAAGGCATTCTGGAAAGGTCTGTCAGAATTCAGCTGCAACAAAAGCTAGAATAAAGCCAGAAATGCCCAAAATAGTGCTGTGGGTCACCCCACGCTTAAAACTATTACAAACCACGAATATTCCTAGCAGGAAACACTTGGCTGTGACTTTTCCTCCGAGGTTACATTGCATTTTGCTCACAGCCCAGAAGCGCACCCAGAGCTCTCAGAACAAGATATTTTTGAAATAATCCTTGAACAAATAACGCTTTACTCGGAGGCGCCAGGGGAAGGCTGCGAGGCGGCCTCGGACAGCGCAGGAAAGGCGGATCCACGTCGCCACGAGCGCGGATAACACCCAGGGGCGCGAGGGCGGGCGCCTTACCCGAGTTCTTCTGGTTGGTGACGGGCTTGCCCTCGGCGGGCACGGCGTGCTGGAACACCTGCACGGTGTCCTGCACCACCTGCCGCTGCAGGCACACCTCGAGCGGGTCGTTGCACGTGGCCACGTTCTGCGCGAGCAGGAACTGCGGCTCGGCCTGCAGGCGCCGCGCGAAGGCGGCCGCCTTCTCGGCGCTCAGTCCTGGGGGGCGCGGGGGCGGCCGTCACCGCAGCGCGCCGGCCCAGGGCCCCCCT